GCACTGTCCAGGTCTGAGGGCAACAAGAGAAGTCCTGCGCTACATACTGCATCGCGCAGTTTGGACGTCTCTCGGATGTACCGATGCGGTTGCCGCTACATTTGGTGTCCAAGATACCTGCTGATAGACTGGGACGGGGAACTCTGGGACACTGGACGGGGGGGGTGCACCACTGCAGTGGGCTAAGGTAGAGAGGTGGATGGGCAGAGTGGAGCTCGTTGCTGGACTGGGACTGGGCGCTCTGCACACTGGGGGCAGTGGGCACTGGGGCCCTTCGAGACTGGGACGGGGGGACAGAGGGATGGACTGGGAGTGGCCGGACCATGCCATGCCATGCCATGCCTTGCCTGGCCTGGCTGGACTGGGTCTGCCGTGTGGCCTTGACCACCTATGACCATCTCTCGCTGGCTGAATCTCCCGACTCCTCTTCTCAGTTCTTCCACACTCATCATCCTCAAAACCACCACCTACAAAACATTCCCTCTCTACAGGCCCCTTGTCGAGTCCTGAGGAGAGAGAGAGAGAGCGAGAATAGAGAGCCTCGTGAAGCGTTACGCTCTTCTTTCCCCTCATCCCCTTTTCTTTTTTTCTTTCCCAAATCCCCCTTGTTTTTCACTGAATACCCCCCCCAGTTGTTGTTCGCGGTCCCTTCCTTTCGGCCTCTCGTCTTCGTCGTCCACTAACCCTTTGCTCGCCCGGCCGCCAATCTGCACTCACAATATGAACAAACTGGCAAACATGCGTCACTGGTCCGAGAGGATGAGCCCCAACTTCGGAATGGGTCGTCCTAACATGCCCATCAACCCCATGGCCCCGAGAAGAGACTCAGCTCCCCAGCAGGCTGCTTCAATAAGCTCACCTCAGCCTCTCGATGCTCCGATGCCCATCATCCACTACTCCTTCAACGTTCCGTTCGCCTCCGACCTCGCCGGTCCCAACACCGAGGACATCCTCCATGCCACCGCCGACGCCGTCCTCCGATGGACCCATCCCGAAGACGCTCCCGATGACGTGGGGGTCCACGAGCTGCCCGTCCACACCCAGAACCTCGCGAACCTCCGCAAGGTCTGCAAGGACATCACCAGCGGCCCCTTCCAGATCGAGGCTCACGTCATTTCTACCTCGCCCAAGAACGCAAAGGGACAACAGGTCACCACCGTGTGCCTTTCGGGTACGCCGGAAATGGTTCACAAGAGCAGGGAGACGATCTTGAACGACAACCAGACTGTCCTGGTAGGTTTATTCGACGATTAGGAGCTGGGTAAAAATGCGTGGATTAACGAATGCCAATCTAGCGTTGTACGACGGTCGATGTGGAGGGTCATCTTGTCTGTGATCTCACTGCCGGAGCTCTGAAACAGCAAGTTACCGACACTCTGGATTACATTTCCAAGTACTGCGGGGTCGACATTTTTCTCCTTGGCCCCAAGCTGACTCCCATGGTTGACGGCATGACGGGCGATGCTGAGATGCGCGTTGATCAGAGATGGAGGGTCGCCATTTACGGCGACATTCTCTCTGTCGAGCATGCAAAGGCCCGTGTCCTCATCCAAATTGACACTCTGGTATGCCTGCCCAATCGTTGGCTGGCTTCTGTCTCAGCTTGCTGACCGAAAATACAGCTCGGCCGAGTCGTCGATGCCACCAAGCTCGACCTGTCCATTCACCAGCTCGTTTGCGGCCGCCACCGGAAGAACATTAAGCTCATCGAGTCTTCCACCGGCACCGCCATCTACTTCCCGCCGCCTTTCTCTCAGATGTACCGTTACTGTCCTCCTGGCGCCAGCCGCAGAGACCCAACGGACATCTTCATCACGGGAGAAAGCCCTCAGGCCATTGAACTGGCTAAGCAGAAGCTCCATGAGACTGTTTCGCGCATTAGGCTGTACATGAAGGATGTCACTATCGCGCCTGCCAAGATTGATAGCGTCCTCCTGACGCGCCTCGACAAGGTCCGCAAGATTCTCGAGGCAAACGGCACCTACATCTTGTTCCCGCCTCTTGCAAGCCAGCGCAACATGGTCCGAGTCCAAGGCAGCGAAGGACTGCATGTCGAGCGCACCGTACGCGAGATCATGGCTTTGGTAAGTCTGGACGGCGATGACTATCCTTCCTCACATAAGTTCTGACATAAGTTCTGACATGATGCCACAGGCTGGACAATTCTACAGTGCGGCTTGGTGGATCCAGCAGCCTGACAGCCGGCAGCTCCCCAACCCCGCTGACGTCAGAACCATGCTCGGCGATGTTTGTGCGAACTCGGATGCCGATCTATCTTTCGATAAGATGAACTTCTCCATCACTGGATCTGACGACTCTGTGAAGGCGGCTCTGATGGTCATGTCCGAGATTAAGTTCCTCGTGCAGTCTCAGTACCAAATTCGCGTCAAGATCGAGCTTGCCAATGAGCATAAGGAATTCGTCAGCGGCAAGAAGAACGGAAAGATCAACAAGATCATGGGCCAGAGCAGCGTCCAGATCATCTTCGACGGGTTCAATGAGTACAACTTCAACATTGATGTCATGGCCGCTAGCTACGACTCGATGAAGCAGGGCCTGACCCTTGTTGAGCAAGAGATGCCCGCTTCCATCTCTTTCCATGTCCCTGACCAGTACCACAAGCGCATCATTGGCATCGGAGGACAGCACATTCAGCGCATCATGAAGAAGCACTCTGTCTTCGTCAAGTTCTCGAATGCAATGGACCGAGGCGGCATGGGCCGCGAAGACGACGATGTCAAGGTCGACAACGTCATTTGCCGCACGCCTGCCAGGAACGCCCAGAATCTCGATGCCGTTAAGAACGAGATTCTGGAGATGGTCGACAGAGCCGTGAGTTTCCCCAGCGATGACTGTGCTGCCCCTCACTAACATGTCTACTAGGACTCGGAGTACACCTCTCAGATCGTGAACGTCGACCGTTTGTACCATCGCCAGCTCCTTGCACGTCTCAGTGACATTGATGAACTGGAGAGCAAGTACAACTGCAAGATCGTCTTCCCAAGCACCGAACAAGCCAGCGATGAGGTGACCGTGACTGGCCCGCAGTGGCAGGTCCCTCATTGCGTGGACGAGTTTTTGGTAAGGATCGGCAACCAATTTGCCCCTCACCCGCAGAGCAAATACTGACAGATCTTAGGGCATGGTGCCTGATAACCACGAGCTCGTTCTCACTCGCACTCCGGAGCTCATCAAATTCCTTGAATCGCCGAGCTTTGCTCACGATCTTGTCCCCAAGTTGAAGACCCAGTACGAAGTCGAAGTGTCCGTCCACCAGGATGCCGACTCTGAGGATGGTCTCCCAGCCATCGCTTTGCGCTGGACGTTCACACGCAACAACGCTGGGGGCCTCCGCGATGCCATTGACTTTTTGCTTGCACAGTTCGCCACTGCTGGTGTCGAGGTCACCATTCTCAAGGGATCGATTCCCCGTCCCAAGTCGGACTCTTTCGAGGACTCCCTCCAATACTTCGACTCGAAGCTCCTTCAGCATGCTCCTGCCACCATTGCCGCCGATTCTCCCACCAAGGCCGCTTTCGAGGGCGAGGTCGCTCGCGAGCGAAGCACCATTTTCGACCGCCTGCGTAAGCCCGGCAGCATGACCTCCATTTCGTCTTTCCTCGACCGCCGCAAGAACAGCTCCCACTCGACGAACGGCAACTTTTTCAAAGGATCCAGCAATGTTTCCAAGTCTTCTCTTATTTCGATCGAGTCTACCCGCAGCTTTAATGCGGATCGCAACCCCTGGAACGATAGCGGCGTCAATCTTCCAGACGACGACAACCCTTGGGCCCACAGGCCCCTCGGGAATGGTTCGGACAAACTGACCATTCCCCAACCTGGTGACGTTACGCCCCGTCACAGCACTCGTGCGTCCGGCGACAGCGGACGCCCTTCTACGTCTCATTCTACGAATTCTGGATACCCCGGTCCCATCGGACCTTTCCGTTAGATTCCCGTCTTAGAACCTCTACGTGCAAAATACCCCGGCTGGATATACCCTGGCGTACAATACCCGGAACGTCGCTTCTGATGCATCGGTCGGCCGAAGTTTCTGCTGTTTTGCGTTGCGTTGCTCTCGTGCTTTGCTCTCGTTGTGTTTTATCTGATTTCAGTCGAATTTCTCAGTGTTTCTTTTTTGGGTTTTGATGGTTCCTTGTCTCGGCACGATTTCACGTCCACTCTTTATACCCCCAACGTCGAGAGACTGAGGACAAAAAAGAAAAGATACCTTGTACGCGGTTGTTTTCGTATGCTTGATGCTTTCATGATCTTCAGACGACGTCGTCAGCAGAGACGATGGCAGTCAAATGAAGATATCAAAAAGAGAAGGGTTTAGCGGGTCGTGCGGTTTCTCCTACTGCCCCAAATCGGCATCTCAGTCATCAGGTTCCGCAGTCTACGGCTTCATTAACACGATGCGCGGTTGGCTACGAACCGGACTACAGTGTTGGTTGCTTAGGTGGCAAGATGGAAAAAAAGGTTCATGCTCTTTGTATGGGGGTCGGCCCGGCGACGCCGCCAAGCGGAGAACGAAAAGATTGTCATGGCGGCGGACAAGACGGCGCAACATTTAGCGGCTGGTTGATCTGCAGGCGGGAGTGATGAAGATGGAAACTGTACACATACCTAAGCGCACCTTTCAGGTTGGCCTTGACATGCAATGATACCCATGGTCGATCAACCGCTGTCGTATGTGATATTGTGAAAGACGAGTTCGAATGTGATTCTTGAGTTTGACATGCTATCAGGACCACCAGGCCGTCGGCAAGAGAACATTACGGGTTGAGTGCTGCTTAGTCAACGCCATTCTCGTCCCCGCCAATATGTATGCCCATTGGTCTCACACTGGCCAGGCATTATCAACTGATTGCTTGAGTTTTCGTCGTATATTCTATCTGTACATGACAAATTTTGTATTCTATTCACAACGCTGCTTTACGTTTGAGTTGGGTATAATCCAGAATAGTGAGAACGGTGTTTCTTGACGTTCCAGTCTCTCATGACGATATAGGCCCAACCGACACCTTTTCCCGTGCCTCTTGCTGGGCTTTCTTCTGGCTGTGGCGTTCCACACGCCGTTTCTCCGTCATGATATTGGCAAACCTGCCCCTCGCCCCGTGCTTCATCTTGGTGATCATATCAGTTGCTTTGCCCTTGTCCACATCCTCGGCTGTCAACGGTTCTTGTTTCGTACGCAGCTTGTTGAGGAAGTCGAGTTGCCCCTGAGTCGGCGGCCCCTTTCTCCAGCGCTGATACCGGTGGATGAATACATGAGGAAATACTTCCGAGGCGTATTTGTCGCTGCCGTGCACGGCGTCGGTGAACGTGGCGGCCCTTAAGAGTTCTCTCGGAGCAGCAAATGGTGACTTGGAAATGCCAGGCGGAAGGGCCCTGACCTCAACAGCCTGCCAAGCTGGCTGGTTTTTCCCACCCTCGACATCCAGCTTGGAAATCCTGATGAAGCTGCCGTTGGGGGCACAGAGAACATATTTGTCCAAGCCAACCTGTACCCAGGCATAATGGCTGATGGCCCGAATGTGCTTCTCCCCCGATGCATCCTCGATGAGATCGAACACAGAGTTATAGTCGGTAAAAGTGACCGAGCCCGCGGACACGGATTGAGAGCTTGAGGGCGCGTCGTAAGCTTGGTGCTGTCGAATCTTTCCTGCCTCCCTTCTCTCACTAGTCTTACGCATATCCGCCGTCGACGCCTGGTCAACAATCTCCCCCGGATCAAGGCCGAAGAGCGTCGGTGTTGTGACGATGCCAGTCTCAAGACTGGAAACCATGTCAATGACATGGCAGTCCGTCTTGCCTTTGTGTAACCTCATGCCCCTGCCAATCATCTGTACGAGCAGGTTCCGAGATCGCGTGGGACGAGCGAGAATGACGCAGTCAATGTTTGGGATATCCGTCCCCTCGGTGAACACTCCGCAGTTTACAAGCACGGGAAACTCTCCCCCCCGAAATGCTTCCAGGATGGTACTTCTTTCCACTTTTGGCGTATCACCAGTCACGAATCTTGCGTCGAATCCGTGTTTGCGAAACGTTTGCGTCAGTCCCGCGACGTGAGCCAGGTCGACACAGAACACGAGAGTCGACTTTCTTTCTGCTGCCTTTGCAAGCCAGCTTCGCACGGTGATTTCGTTAATTTTCTCGGTGTTGACGGCCTTGGAGAGTTCTCCTGCTTGGAAGTCGCCGTTGGCACCGCTCCTGACTTTGGATATGTCGGCTGTCGATTCGACTGTAGTAAAGATAACGTCTGACAGCCATTTATCGCCGATCATGTCTACGTAGTCCTTGTGGTAGACGATCTCGTCAATAGCAGCGCCGAGTTTCAGGCCGTCGAACCGTGAAAAGGTGGCCGACACGCCCACGAGGGAGGGAGAGTCGGCCTGCTTGGTGTCAAGGCCGAAATGACGGAGTACGCGCATGTATCCGGGAGCAACGATGTGATGAGCCTCGTCAACGAGGACCAGCTTGAATCTCTCGGGGTCGAACTTATCCAGTCGTTCTCCGGATGTGATGCTCTGGAGGCTAGCAACGGTAATGTCTGCAGTGCCCGTGGCATGCAGAGACCCCATCTCAATGTCGACGGACTTGTCTGGGTACGCATTGGTGCAGTGCCTCGCAGCTTGCTCCACGAGCTCTCTCCTATGGGCGAGGATGAGAGTCTGCGTGGCGCGGTCTTGCCTTGGCTGTATCCTCTCTATCAATTGAGTAAAGATGACCTGCTGAGTATGAGTCCTGTTCTACATGCGTTGCCAGGGAACAATCTGAGCTCACAGTCTTGCCGCTGCCAGTGGCCAGCGAAATGCCCAGCCTTTTATGTCCATTTTGCAGGGACTGTAAAACCGACTGGATGCAGTCTTCTTGGTAGCTTCTCAGCTGGATCTTGGTGCTTAAGAACCGTTGAGTGTGAAGAGGCTGTTTCTTGGGGATGAAACGTCCCGCTTGGCTTAGGATTCTACCCGTTGTTTGTGTCCTCAGTATCTTCCCAAAGAAAGATGACAACATTTTTGGTCGATTCCCATGTTGATGGCGATAGACGATTAGAATCACCATCGATGCAGTCCGGAATCTAGGAGAATTGGCTAGGATTGGAGAGACCTTCCAATCAGAGACTGAGAACAAGACCCATAAATTCAGCTGGCGGTCGACACGGGTACCTACCTAGGTGGCTACAGTGTACCTACCACCCATAACGCATCCACACAGGCAATCGGGTGTGAACCTGCTAGCGGCACAAATACTGGGGATACTTTCGTCTGAGCGATTCCCTACAAGGAAATCTTCACTCTCAAGAGACCTTCGCCTCATGAGAACCTCACATCACATGCATCCGTAGGGCAACCGCAACCCCTTTGTTCTTAAATTTCTCTCACAAGCCTGAGGTGTCATTTCATAATTGATCTGGCATCGAGATATATTTATCATCGCAACATGTACCTCTCATATCGCCCGAGCAAGATCGTCGACTTCAGGGCGTTGAACGAAGACGAGCATGGATCCAGACGCCGATTTTTCACTAGACGAGACACGTACTGGACCACACGAGAATGTCCCTCTTGAATCAACAGAGGTGGATCTTATTGGAGCAGAAGTGCTACGAGGCTCGTCCCACGACGACGTGGCTTCTGTCAATCGTGGCCGCTCATCCCAAAAGCGACGGGCATCTGGCACGGCAGTCGAACCGATTCTCAAGCGCCACAAAGGACTCTTCAACAACGCTTATCTCGATCTTCTGAATGCAGACATTGCAGATGCCGTGAACCAAATCGAAGGCGGCACGGAAGAGGAGCTGCCACCTTCCCAGATCGGCATGACATTTTGGACTCCTTTCGAGAAGAAGCTGTTCTTTGAGGCGCTCGCCAGGCTCGGAAAAGATGACCTCCAAGGGATTGCGCAGAGGATACCAACGAAAAGCGAGATCGAGGTTCACCAGTACATCGCCTTGCTCCAGGACGTGGTAGAGAGGAGAGAGCGAGAACAGGATCACCGCCTGGAATACCTTGCGGAACTGGCGGACTACCCGGCAGCGGTCGAAATCAGTCAACCATGCTGTCACGCCCTTGACGAGGCAGCCGATGCTTTGTCATTTAGGCAAGAAAGGCACGAAGAGCTCGCCGAACAGAAGAAATGGGGCGAGTGCTGGAACATTACCCCAGAGCTTGCGAGGCGCATTGAAGGGGGCCACGGACTCAAGAAAGACCCGGATTTCGCAAATCACCATGGCCTTGAGTTCACGGAAGTTCTTCGCGTCAAGGAATTCCTTCGGCTTCCGGAGGAGATCTTCATGAACGCTCCCCACGCCGAAAATAATTGGCAGTTCGTTAGCGAAGAGCCGCCAAGTATCAGAGCTACCGCACTACAGGATTTCCATTCACTTCTCGTGTCAATCACCAAAAAAATTGTCCTGACCACGCTCTTTATGGCTGAGTCTCGGATCAGGGCGAAGAGGAAGGTGGATCCCACAGTGAGGGGTCTCGTCCGGCGGAAGGATGTTGACGCGGCGGTGGCCTCGCTGGGCATGAAGCCGAACAGCAATGAGTTCTGGGTTCTTTGCGCGCGTAGGCTACGCCTGGAAGTCGTGAACGATGAGGTTGACGTTCAGGATGAAGGGGATGTTACGGAATCACTCGACGAAGAGGAGCAGCCAATGTCCTACGATGAGGTGGAACACACTCTGCGCCAGGAGTCAGGATCTTCTGACCCGTCAGATGCGGGCAGCAGGTCTGTGACGCCAGGATTCAAGCTTGAAACTGGCGAGTCTTCTGAGTCCTCTGAGTCCGATAACTCGGCGTCTGAGAACTCGGACAGCGAGTCTTCTGTTATGATGGACGATGCTGAGTTTGAAGTCAACGAAGAAGCCAAAGAGGTACTCAAATATTCCGCGTACGATTTCCCAGAAACGCACCGCACAAGAGAGGCCCTGAAGCATAGGATCAGAAACGAGCGGGAACAGGAGGCTTCCGCCGAGGCCAGGGATGCAAAAGCATCTTACGAAGCCGAGGCAGAGATGTGGAGGCTTTTGCAACGGCAACCCCCGGAACCGCTGGTGAAGCCGACCCTAGCTGAGCGCGGTCGGAGGGGCATGAAGGACGTGGAAGATATTTACGACGTTGGTCGACAATGGAGGGAGAGGTTAACGTTTCACAGCGAGTGGGAAATGCTGGGGACGGCCAACTTGCCAGCGAAGCAGCCTTGACGTCTTCTGAAATCTGGGCTATGAATGATTGCTCTTCCTCTTCTTGATACCCATAGACTTGGCCTTTCTAATGTAATTTTTGTGACAAACCACACCGTCTAATGCCTGTCGGGCTCTAACGCCAATAATGATGCATACTAATACCACCGTGCTCGTCCATCGTGTGTTGTCGCGCCCTGCGACGGGTATCATAGTCCATACGCCATTCCGACCAACCACTTCATACGATTGGTGACTGTGAACCTACTCACCGCCCCCGCGACCTTCCTCTGCCCCGTCCCCTGCCTCTTCCACGACCACGAGCAGCTCCTCGGGTCCTTGATACTGGTGCACCGCTCTCCTCAGCGCTCTCTTCCTCATCTTCTTCCTCGTCGGAGCCACTTCCGCTGTCGCTGCCTTCTTCCTCGTCCTCTTCTTCCTCTTCTCCCTCCTCATTATCTTCGTCCTCTTGCTCCTCCTCGTCTTCCTCGTCCTCCTCTTCGTTCTCCTCATCGTCTTCGGAGGAGGAGGAAGAGGAAGATTTAGTAGACTGAGCCTTTGAGTTCTTGCCAGCTTTCTCCACCTTTTCAGCTTTTTCGACTTTTTCAGCCTTCTCAGGCTTCTCAGCCTTTTCCGCTTTCTCTGCCGCCTTGGCCTTGCCAGCAGCCCGCTTCTGGCTTCTGGCTACCCTGGCAGACTTTGGCGGTGGCGATGCGACGTCCGTACCGCCATCCTCCGTGTCCTCAACAGTGCTGGCGCGAGTCTTGGTGACAGTGGAAGCGCGCTTTCTCCTTCTGCTGGTCCCAGCATTGCTACCGCCAGGGGATGGCGGCGGTGGCGTAAGCTCCAACGCTCCGGGAGATGTAGGGGCTTCGCTTGGGTCTGCCAGGAGGCGCTCCAATTGCATATCGTAGAACTCGCCAGGGGGTAGAGTAAATTCTTTGAACCGTTTATCGTAGTTTTCGTCATCCTGGGCATCGAAGTAATCCTCGCGCTGGTCTATAGTCGGAAGATCATACAAGGTGCGAAGTTTCTGCCAGATATGGGGGATGCGCGTGTGTGGACATACTTCTGGACCGATACCGTGATTCCGGAGGTGCTCGCTGATGGCAATCATTCTGAAATGTTTGTGCATACCTGCAAAGAAGTGTGTTAGCTTTAGTTCATCACTGTAAACATAGAGATCCTCCAAGCAGACTGACCCGCCGGCTTCCATCTGATGACGCCCTTGAAAAGTGATGACAACTGGTCGTCAGTCCAATGATTATTTGGCCATTCGTCTGCGGAGGGTTTGACAATCGGCGCAGCAGCTGTTGGGGTGTCGGCCGTCGGGGTGTCGACATCCATGGCATCGTCGTCGCGAGCTGGCGTCGGCGTCGCGACAGCTGAGACGCTGCTTCGCGCCTTCTTCTTGGGCGGCATCGTAGCTGCGTCGAGAGAGTTTGTGATAGACCAAAGCGCGTATGTTCGGGGCAATGAATGCAGCCTTCCAATTGCGCTTCGAGTTTATGAGCCGTAATGTCGTGATTGTGAAAGTGTTGAAGGTTGCAAAGGTAGAGAAAGGTCCAAGAGTGGAATTGGAGCTTCGGTCGTCGGTCGAGCTTAGTCTAACGCACGGCAGGTCTGCCCAGGAATGCTTCCACTTGTTATGGATTTTTATTTTCTGAGCCGCCAGGAGCCGATTTGCGGGGGGTAGCCACTAGCTTTCATCCAATGCAAGGGTCATCTTTAGTGCTTTGTACCTGTAAAGTATGACGCGACTGGCGCGTCGCGGGGCTAGGCTATTTACTCCTTGCCTAGGCTTCATTGCGGTGTGCAAGAAGGGTGCGACGACACTTACGACCTGGCCTTGCGATGTTACTGTCGGCAGCCTGCACTCAAGATCTGTTTACATCAATGCTACACCACAAGCCTTCTTCAACGATCTCATGATCATGTTCGCGCAGGACGAAACTGCCGACGTCTTTGCGATCCCAGATTTCTGGGAACCACCACAGTGGGAACTTCCCAAGGACGACAATGGTTTCTTTGCGCTTGAACTAAATGGTGAGTTTTATCAGAAGCAGTCTTTGAGTCTTTCTGACCAATACGTTCTGTAGAAACGGAAGCTTCACCACTATGGAAGCTACCCGAAGACCAACCGAACAAGCTCTTTGCACTTCCTACGATAGATCCTGGCGCGGAACGAGACGACTCAAGCGCCGCCGATGCGCCGGAGGAAGAGCAGGAGGAAGAGCAGGAGGAACCACTGCTTGAGAATGGCTTTGATCTTCGCGACCTATGGATGGCGCTCGACAAGCCAACGCTACGGCCGCCAGAGTACAAAACATGGAATCATTTCGAGGCACCCAATTCGTCGTGGACGAAGCCCTTATTCATAACGGAAGCTGGCCCTGGAGCAACTGACGCTCTGATGGGTTTTGATCAAGACCCATTGAGACTCGGGAGTTTTGATTTCAGTGTGGTGGAGACGAGACCTTATTGTAACGCGCTGTTGTCTCTGGCTCTTGGCAGAGAATCGGTCTTCTTCTCATGGGAAGAGGAGACAACTACGTTCAAGCCGGCCCTTCCAAAGATCAGGATCTCGGGCTACTCTGGAAAGACTATTCAGGAGGTTCAGAAAGCATGTTTAAGATGTGGAAACACCTATCGGAGACTACGACAATTTGTCGAAACAACGTACAAGAAACATCCAACACCATGCCGGGTAGCTTTGGCAAGCTCTGTGGACAAGGCGCTGTTGGTCATTCAGAGCAGCATTGCCTTGCACCACCAGTCACCGAGGTCGATTCTTCAGGTCCAGTCACTCATTGGCCAAACGTACACCATCCTAAAGCAGTTCGATTCTCTGGTGGCCAAAATACGACGTGGTCACCTAGATGAGGACGTATTTGTCATCGTATACCAACAAGCACAATCGGCAGAGTATGCCGAAATACACCTGAGAGATATGATGCGCGAAGTCTTGCGGCGGGTCTCGCGACCTTGGATCGAGTTGGTCGAGGAGTGGATTGGCACTCGACGTGAAGTCGGCGTTCCTTTAGGCAAGCATGAAGTCGGCAGGCAGAAAGGCTTTATCAAGGTCGAGTCCGAGACTTACATTGATGACTTTGGAGACGAGGTTGACGAGGTCGATTACCGTTTAGATACTGAACGGATACCCAGCTTCATGCCTGATGATATAGTCAAATCCCTGTTCGAGGTTGGACGAAACCTTCGGTTCATCAGAACTACCCACCCGAGTCATCCCTTGGCACACTCAAGAACCGTCTCGTCAAGTCGACCACCTACGCTTGAGTGGCTCTTCGACTGGGACGCCATAGTTCTTTTAGAGAGTAAGGTTCATTCGTACGAGAATGAGCTGCGGGATGCTATTCAGCAACATGGCCCAGAAACGCTCACTAACCTCGAGATGCCGAGATGGCCTATGGGCGGTTCGACGGGGTACCAGCTACAGTTCTTTGGTCTCGACGAAATCCAATTGCAGAATCGGCTGGAGGCATCTATACAGGATTTTGAACAGCCCATGGGCGACTCGACTGCGGAGGATCCGTTGGGAATCATCATCAGGGAGCGCCTGGCTGATGTCAGGACAGAGGCTGGAAACGCCGGTACCGACTTCACCCCTCACTGGTCTCTGCTTCCAGTTCTTTCATTCGGCTCCATCATCTCAGTCCAATCAAAGGTCGTCGGCAGAGAGAGCTTGAAGTTACTGTTCACGTCCCATGACCTCAGACAGCACCTGAGCTTGCAAAAGGAATTCCAGCTCCTTGGAAACGGATTCTTCTGCAGCCGCCTCTCTCACGCACTATTTGATCCAGACCTCGAGACGGCCGAGAGACAGGCCGGCGTCGCTCATCAAGGTGGAGTAATGGGCCTAAGGCTTAGTGGCAGAAATACATGGCCTCCTGCCAGTTCAGAGCTGCGCCTAGCGCTGATGGGCGTCTTGACTGAGAGTTACGAAGGCCCTGTGAAAGGGGGCTCATCTCAATCACGAGATGGCGAAGCCCATGAACTTCCCGGCGATCTCAGCTTCGGTGTGCGAAGCCTATCCAACGAGGAAATCGATAAATGCATGGATCCGGATGGACTGGAGGCACTTGACTTTCTTCGGCTATCTTACAAGCCTCCCCAGGCATTGGGATCCATCATCACGCCAATCATACTGGTGCAGTATGATCGGATCTTCAAACTGCTGCTGCGCGTCTCGCGGATGCAGTATACAGTCAACCGGCTCTTCCGGGATGTCACAGCCAGAGAGTCTGGATGGCACGACGTTGAGGATGTTTCGGTCCGTTTTTGCTATGAGGCTCGTCACTTTGTGGCGGGCATCAGCAGCTACATCTTCGACATTGGAATTGAGATGCCATGGCGGGCGTTTGGAAGTCTCCTGAACAAAGTAGAGGCAGACTTGAAAAGCGACGAGGTGACGACACTGTCAGGATCGGCCATCAGTCCCGATCGCCTGCGCGAGCAGCACTCCCAGGTTCTTGATCGGATCATGCTGGCACTGCTCTTGAGGAAGAGACAGCAGCCCATTCTCAAGCTGCTCGATGACATATTTAGAGTCATACTCAAGTTTGCCAAATTCGCGAGGCTCCGGGCCGACGGGCGAAGCTCTCGTAGCCAGGGCGATGCGACGGCCAAGGGCTTGTATAAGACCTTCAGACGAAACGTTGAGGTTTTCCTGACGGTCTGCAAAGGACTCAGCGAGAAGGGAGACTACGGCGGCAAGAAGGATGTTGCTGGCGACAAGGAAGGTTCAGAAAGAATCGATGCGTTGGACAACAACCCTATCGCTCAACTGGTGCTGAAACTCGACATGTTCAGTTATTACTCGAAGGCATGATGGACAAGGATTGGCGAGTCGGTTGATGCAGAGATACCCTAGTGCTAGACAAATAAACAAATCTTTGGTGCACTCGTCTGCAACATTGAGAATACGGGCTTTCGCAAGACAAAAATTGCCGAAGTGCTGGAAATCCGGTCCTTCATGAATGACTACGGAGCTTAAAGTTAGGCAAGCCTTGTCTGGGCTGTGTTTCTACCTAAGGAGGTAGGTAAGTAAAGTGCCCCGCCACATGTTTGCCAGCGATGCCGTGGCGTCAGTGCCCCCCGCATCGCGTGTCCCACTATTGAGGTCCGCGTTTGTTGACTACTTTCCATCATTGGACGAAACACGCACCTGAACAAAACAAACGCAGCTGCTCTTGCGACCGATATTTTGCAACGGCTATACTCTGTATCGCATGCAGACAACATGTCTCGCCCAGGCCCCTCAGCACGCAACTTGACTCTCACGGAAGAGCTGGAGAAGCTCGAGCAGTCTATTACTCTGACGCTGCAAGGTAATTTGGTTTTATTGAAGAACTATTGGTCTATCAAGCAGTATGACATAACGACTGACCGAATGTGCTTCAGAGATCGACTCCAACTTCAGCAAAGCTCACCGGATCGTGACCACAAGCATTTTGCCCATCGTTGAGCAATATGGCGAGAACTCTAGAAACGTTTGGGAGGCTTCCAAGGTGCGTCCAATCTTTCCTTGGTTAAAGGCGAAATTAACTTCAGTATATAGTTCTGGAAGCAATTCTTCGAGGCCTCGGCCAACGTGTCGCTTTCTGGCTACGAAGAGCTCGCAAACGATGAGGACGAGACCGCGGCCAACGAGGAATCCACCGTTCAAGACGAGACGTCGGTCAATTACACCCCACGACGCGAGGACGGCGCCGAAGACGACTCGACAGCATCAGCCCCCGAGTCTACATTTCAAGCCGAGGAGTCCATGATCGGCGGCGATGATGACCTGACGGGTAGCACCCCGCGTCTTCCCAAGACCAAGACTATTCAGACTCAATTCTCCAGCCTCGAGTCTCCCTACGAGGCGCTCAAGCGCGAACTCAAGGGCGAGCCGCCGGCACCGCATGAAGAGGACGATGAGGACGAAGACCTTGGCATCGGCGAAGACTCGACGATTCTCTTTGCACAGCACACTGCCCGTTTGCCAGACATGTCGATGACGCCTCGAACATCGCTCGCCCCAGCCGGTCAACAGTCTGCGCAGCCTCACAAGGACCCTCTGATGCACCGCATGCTCGACAAGACATTCCGTATCCAGGCCACACCGCACAAGGGCCCTACCTATCGCGTCTCTCCGCTGAAGCGAGAAGCGAAGCCCAAAGAGGAGGAAGATGTACCCACGTGGAAACGCCAGGACTCGCCCATGTCGTCGCCAGTCATGGCTGTTCCGACGTTGCGAAGCGAGGCTTTCATGTCACCCGCCAAGTCCAGGCGTCTCGCTGCAGCCACAGCAGCTGCAGGTCCCCGCACCCCCGGTGTCAGCGTCCAGACGCCTGTTACGGGCCGGAAGACCAAGGACGTCTTCGCCAGCAAGCCTATTTTCCGGAGTGCCTACGATGACGACACCACCACGACAGACATGGGTGCTGCTGGTCTAGCAAAGGACAAGTACGAGATCAACTGGGAGAGCGACAGCGACGAGGAACAGGGGCTATATGGGGGCATGAGTCCGCCGAAGACGATCCAGTTTGCGCTGCCACAATCGAAGTTGCTTCAGACGCCAGGTAAGTCACACATTTTGTAGACTCGTGCGAACGCTGTTTGCTAATGGAATACTAGCTCGGGAAGCCAGCAAGCGCATAGTGGACGATATTCTGATGACGGCAGGCGCCGAACCGGAGAGCCCGGAATATAGTCCTACGATGGTCAAGATGAACGAAGATATTCTCGATGAGAGCTTTTGAGCTGATTGATTGACATGGGAGAATAAAGACTGCCCATCAACAGTCCAATATTTGTATTGATAAAATACCCAAGACTTGCACCTTCAATTTGATCAACTTTTCTCGTCGAAATTGCCACAAGGAACAACCCCGGCCAACAAGAGAATGCCCCCTGTGGGAGTCATACCACTAGTATTAGCGCCGACCCGTATATCGCACCCGTCTAATACAAAAGAAACGCCAACACTCCTCGAAAGATTCCCAGCCCAAATAATCAACACAGTTCAGCGGGGCTGTAGCAGCATCCCGCGGGCAGTTACTATCGCTTCTTGAAGCCACTGTACTGCTTTTCGCCCATCGTTTCTTTGCTCTACAGGTCGTTGCGAATGGAAGAGGACCAGTATTCTGACTGCAAAGGGAGAAATCATGTCAGAAATTCATGGCTTGAAAAAAGACAAAAAGACGCGAACCAGAGCACGAGGAAACCATTCGAGGTACATCTCGTGTCGCATGGTACGCGTGTCTCTGGGGACCAGTATTAAAGTGAAAGGCGTACTTGGTTCTGGAGGACCTGGCCGCTGGCGTCACCAGCGGCGCGCTGGCGAGCAATCAGGGAAGAAGACTTCTTTGAGGATGAGGCATTGTTATCGTGAGAACGGTGCAGCTTGTCCTTCAGAAGAGTGACCGAGCTGCCGAAGCTGGAGATTGAGGCGGCGTCGGAGTCCTTGCGATGTTGTTGGCCGTAAGAGGACTGTGTCTGAGAGCCCTGGGCGGCGGCGCCTTGCTGAATGGCGGAGAGGACGGCGTAGCTGTGTTGCTTGTCGCCGGTGATGGAGTTGGAGAAGCTGGAGTACATGCCGGACATGATTGCGGTGTTGGTGATCTTCTGGGTGGGTGGGCTGGCTATGGATGGAAAATGTGTATGGCTTGGGAAGGGAGAATGTACGAGGAAGCGGTTGTGGGTTGCTTGTGTTGTTGGTCTGTCTGAGTGATGATGATCCAAAAACCTCAGGCTTCCAGAGAAAGACGAGCTCTACTTATACGACAATGACACTCTTCTCGAACAAACATCTTACAAAGCGCTGTACCCCCGAACAGCTGTCAGTCAGAAACAAGTCGAACCAGGATTCAGAGGTTGACTCGGAGTGGCCTACAAGGCAGCCTGGTACCCACAGTCCAAGCTTATTCGTAGACAACGGCAGTCGTCACCCGTCAAACGTCAACGCAAGCAGCCATCACTGCCGTCGTCGACACCCCCGTAAGCCCGGGTGAAAGTGGATCGGGGCCACACGTCGTCGCCCGAGTCGATCTTACCGCCGGAGCGGGTGTGGAAGGTAAGCTGGGCTGGACCGTAGGCGTTGCTGGGCAAGGGTGGAGGGTAGAAATGGAGGAACATCTGCCCGAAAAGACTCACAATCGCAATTTCAGCATGCAGAAAACAAGCATGACTCATTACGCATGGCATACGCCTCATGCGGCGCACTCACTCATGACTGCCTCGTGGATGGGTGCCAATTCGAGGCCAAACGTTGACTTGGCGCAGGCGTCGGGATTGGCTACAGACAGGCAGAGAGATGCGATGTGACGAGAACGCGGAAGAGCAGCTGTTGGGATGCAGAAGAGGTAAGCAGCCATGGGCATTTGGGATTTGGATTGCACTGATGGATGGCAGGCGACGCGTCTGTTAGTGTCTGATGTGGTAGTCATCTTACCGAAACAAAATGGATCCCTCGAAGCTGTGTGGCTTACTTTACCTTACCTTACTCTATCTTGAACCTGCGAAGTGCGCGTGACTGCCTGGCGAACAGCCTAGGAGCCTGACGGCCGCTGGTGTCGCGAGCAAGCTGGGGAAAGTTTCCCGTTTGTGAGAATCGACATTGCCCAGGGAATTCATTCTTAGGCTGCAACGGTTGGTTCACGTTGGCGGTGGTGGGCGGTGTGGACCTGTGAAACTGGACGTTCTCGGGGTACCGGTGCCGAGAGGTTCGGAAACCTGGCCGGAGAACGACCCACTTGCAATACTGCTTTCACTGCAAATTGTGTCGCAAAACTTTTCCTCATCAGTTAAGACTTTGCCAGCCCTGTTCTGCAACGCCGCGATGCAGCCCCCTCCGCTCATGTCCGGGCTGACTCATTGGCGGCTTGTGTTCCTGGGTATGGTGCAGTCGCTTTTGGGGCAGTCGCCGGTTGTCATTCGCTTCGTAGGCCTTGTGGGGCCGGATGACGCAGACTGCCGTCCAGTGTTCGCTTATGGGTTCGGTGCCGACTCGCTTCGCTCCAGAAACCTTCTGGCACCCAACGCTTACCGGACGGGAGACTGCGGAAGTTGAAGCAGTGGAATCTACCCCATGGATATCAAGGGTCTCTGTACAAGACTCACATCTATTTGTCGAAGCTCCTGTCTTGGGCAAGAGAAAGCATCGCAACAAATCATATGAATCACGAGCGCATGTGTTCCAGTGAATGACATCAACTTCAGTTCCGACTCAAGCCGGCTCTCGCCGTCGACTGACCGCCGCCTCGAGAATTGCTCGGGGTATCATTTCTCTGTTGCGGACGCGAATGCTCGGAATCGCCGCTGATAATGGCCAGCTCGGCAAAACAAGCTTAACTTCATGGTTATGGTCATTAGATCGCAGTCGTTCGCGGCTACGTAACTGCGCGCGACACTGCCTGCTGTCATCATCCTTGGCGGGGCCGCGTGGCTGGCCTGTCACGCTCATCCACTGCCTCAACCATCTTACCTTAGCTCGCTTCGATTGAAAATTTCTCCTCTAGACGCGGTCTTTCTTGAAGCGTTGGAGTCACAAAGAGCTCAATGTTGACATGGATCCTTGCCGCGTTGTATGATAAGCACACAACCCAGCCTTATCTGCTCAGTCCAGGCCAATGACTCTGCGTCGTGACTGGTGCAGATTTTGGCTGTGGCTCTTCATACTGCTCGTCGCTGTTTCGACGCAACCTCAACTAGTGTAGATGTGTTGTACCAGACTGATTCAGTTTGGATCCCCGATGTCCGGGAACCCTCAATTTTCTGGCTCATATGGAGGTGGTTGAGTTCAAGCTGTCTCACACGGGATGAGATGAACGGTTCGCATTGCTCCCGCGAAACAGGACGAAAACCATCAAGGTAATGTCGACTTGGGAACGTTGAACGATATCATACGCTGATAATGTAGTCGTGAGGTATCTGCCGTCTTGTCCATGTCCCGCAGCAATGGAAGGGGTGGTCTGTGTCAGTCAGACGACAGCAGCGCAGAGGAGCTACGCCGAGTGCCTCCACAAACCTTATTTAGAGCCTCAAGATGGGAAAGGCGTCATCGAGCTCCCGAGACGGTCTAGAGCAGATTGCTGAGGCCACGGGCGCCAACCAGGCATTACCCCGCCAAAATGACCAGCAGAGAGCTGCTTACGTATTAAGATCGTATTCGTATTCCTTGCACAGGAAGCCAGGTGGAGCTCTTGAAGATCAGCGCGGTTGATTGGCCGGGTTAGATAGCACAGGTCAGGGGTAGCTGCTGCAGATTGGTCAATGAGAAAGCTCCAAGCACACATGGCGCAACGGGGGGGTTGGTTGGTTGCATTGCACAATGCATACATAGTAGAGCATAACCGGCCTCGGCTCCAACCAAGAGAAGAGTTGTTCGCACATCGCAGAGAGGGTGTTCCAACTCCACCGGGGGAATTGTGCATCCCGGTGCGTTTATGTCTATGAAACAGCGTTGCCAGGATGTGCTGCCCGCCGAGTAACTGCATTGGTTTGGTTTTTTTCACTGGCAGGTCACCGACAGAACGCCACAATCTGAGCAGGTGGGAAAGTACTGCCATGTACGCGATACTTTGCAGTCGAGGCGCCTTTAGCTTGTCTCCTAGCTGCTGGGTTAGGGAACACAGGGTGACACTGACAGTTGACAGTGGAAGCCAAGCGGCGGCACATCGAGAATTCGAACCATCCGAATTAAAGGTAGTACCCCGCGATTGATGATTCTGTTGGAAGCAGCCCGCTTGGAAGCGGCCCACCTTGACTTGGTAGTGGAACTCTGGCCAGAAGTTGCGCGGATGCAAGTTCGCGGCTCGTTCGATATTGCGTGTTGTCGACAAATCGCATCCATCGGAATACGTGGGAGGGAAAAGTACGGATACCTCAGACTTGGAGGAAATATTGATCCTTGAAGCGCTGGATCACAGGCCATGAAAGGAGAACCCCACGCCTCGCGCCATTCGGAGTCGGGATATTCGCGCTCATTGACGGCGGCCGATTTGGATGCGCACCCAATGAGACCAGACAGAAAGTCATTCAGCCAGGATAGACACACAAGGCGCAGTGCGACGGGCGAGGAATGGCGTTGGACTGGAGACTGAATGGGCAGGTTCTTGCGTGTCGGAAACGAGTTGGCCCCGAACGGCCCTGGCACATGGTCGTCCAATGGTCCCAGGAGATTTGCGCGACACTAGTAGGACCCAACAGATTCGGAGACTAAACCGTTTTGGTGCGATCCGTACAAAAGCCGTTCAGTTTCGATTGAGACAGCTGCGGAAAGCAAATTGGGTTCTGCAGGCGGTATTGAGGTGCTGCAGCGCGAACGGATGTTTTGTTTTCTGGTCGTCGTCTGAATCAATCATGGGCAGAAGCTGCGACGCCCATCCCTTCTTGTACTCTGGCCGGTACGCTGCCTTTCGCGGACTGTCGTCATGCAGACCATCTCCGGCTCTATCAGAACAACCATGCTGCTGCTTATCAAAATTTGGGTAGGCAGGTGCGCTTCACCTTAGGTAGCTTGTGGCATTGCAGAGCTGCCAATTGACCTTCAGAGGCAAGGCAAGGCAAGGCAAGGCAAGGCAAGGCAAGACGGGAAAGTCTGATCGAAAAGACGGGACGCAGGGAATCCCAACCGCCCTGCGAAGCGTGCGAAGGTTTGGTCTGTGTCTTTATTCCAGGGACTTCCATTCACGGACCGGAAACCGCAAGCCCCCCTGCCTGCAACTACAACAGCCCTGCCTCGAGGAACTCAGCTGGCTGA